ATGCTATGCATCTAATTTATGAAATTATTTTAACGCATCCGATCTCCTATTTTCTCACTTCCCCCCTCTTTTTTCAGCTGGACGGAAGATCAAGATCGGAATCAACATTGAGTTTCTTTATTTATTTTATTTTTTTAATTTTTATTTTCATCTTAGTGAGTGATTCTATGCTTAGATCGGTTATTTGAATGGTCGTCTCGTTTATTTTTGGAATTCTAGGCTGAGATCGCTCTTGTAAATGGTTGTTTTGTTTTGTTTTGTTTTTTGGCTAGGATTTGGAAGGATCGGGGATATTGGTTGCCAGAGTGATTCTCCAAAGCGAGGATGTTGAGCTCGTCGCCGTCAACGACCCCTTCATCGCCACCGATTACATGCTATATATAAATTTCTACATCTATTGATGAATTTGTTTCCGTTGCTTGATTTTCGATCATCTGATAGATCCAGCGTTAGATTAGCATCAGATTTGTTTGTTTTTTTATTATGCGATCATGTGATTTATATGCTTTAAATTTACTTGTGTGATCTGTGCTAAATAGAATTTGGAGGTGCCTTGTGTTTACTTTTCGAACAGGGCCCCTAAAATCTCAGAACCGGCCCTGCCATGCTCACAAGTCACTTCCCGAATATCGCGGAGACGTCATATTCCATGCTGAAATGACTTCCCTTCCAGTCGCCAGCCAACACTTATAAAGAGAGGGATGACTCATCTTCCAGCTCACGCTTTGCCACCACCGTTCTGCATGGCCAAAATGACCAATCTACCACGGACATCAACGATGAAATCCTTATTCATCCAGATAAGGATTTCATCTCAAATAGTTCTTCAAGAAGGATATGGAGAGTATTATCTCCATCTCTTTTGCTAGTGTGTATGGTGAGCAAGAAGCAATCATATCTTTAACGAAGAAGATATCTCAATTGATAAGCTGGCATCTAATATCTTATCCTTCATCATATTCTGGATAAGCTTCTCAAGCAAGAGGAGATCAGATTTGCTGTAGGCTATTGTTAAGGAGAAGGGGTTCAAATTAAGAGTTGATAATCAGTGGAGAGGACGAAATTGGGGAAACTTCTTACTTTACAATCTTGTATTTTGGTTAGTGTTTCTGCGTTTTATAAGCAAAACTATTTATATAGTGTTAGGAGGTAGGCTTTGTCAGCTCTTACCACGTATGGATATTTTGCATGCATGCTCTTCTTTAATCTCTTCGGATGTACTATCATCTATCGAGCTCTATATACAACTTTGGCATATTCTGGTAATGATGAATGAGTGCTAGGTCCGCCCTTCATCCTATCACATGTGATAATTTTGTGTCTATCGGTTGAATGAGGACCATGTACTGATGTACATCTCAAGAGATCTTGAACATATATCAACCTACTTTTGAATAGGGCATCCTGCCCTATTTTTAAATATAAATCTTTTGAAGTAAATTTCGCTTCACTAATAAAAATAATAATTCAGTGTCAACTGATATAATACGAAATATTAGATGTGTAGCATGTTACCTTAATTAGCAAGTCCTACATGATCATTTGAAAAATTGGATGGTAATTGAGCACTAGAAATAGATCGAAGTATTGGTATTCATGTTGATTTCTTTTTGCCCACAGTCAAGAGATTTTTATCTCGTGAAAAAACCTCACGCAACTATGAGAATTTTTACCGAAAAGAATGAACTCGCATCTAAGATTTATTTTTTGACAAAAATATTGGAGATATTTTTCCTCAAGTATTAAAAGACTATTAGTCTTTTAATACAAAAGTAGTTTATAAAAAATGTTTAAAGGATGATATTTAATGTATGTGATTGCTCTATATGGTCTTGAAGTAGCTCCACTTCTGATTATAGCCAACACTCTCTTTAACATATTAGTTCCTCAAATCATCCTTAATTGCCATGAGAAGGTAATTGCATATTAGTTCCTCAAATCATCCTTAATTGCCAACTAGTCCCTCAAATCTCAATATTTGCATATTAAATCTCTCAGATCTTCAATTTCTGGCAAATTCGCCCCTCTATTAGGGATTCTAATAAATTCTCTAGCTCTACTTAACCAACATCTAAAACTATCCAATAGCTTCTGACTTTTCCACATGGGGTTTTTAACCAAGTTGGGATTAAACTATTGGAGAAAGCTTTGGACTAAATTCATGACCGTTGGAGAAGAAGAAGTTGTCGGTATAAACCCATAATGAAATAAGTTGGTAAGGTTTTAAATGATAGGATTAAAGTTAACAGAAGTCCACCTATATAAACAATGCCAGCTAACAAGAGGGACAAATATTCAATAAAATTAAAGATTTAGGGACTAATAAGCAAATATTAAAATGTGAGGGGCTGTCAGGTAATTAAGGACGATTTAAGGAACTAATATGCAATTTAAAAAAAAGAAAAAAAGGAAAAAGAAATTTTAAAGTTGATATATCTTAAGCTTATATCGGGTGATACACACGGTTAGAAGGTTCCAAGATGACACGGTCGAGTGTGATTATGCCCTGTGTTATTATTAAAAAAAAAGAAAAAGAAAAAAAAACATCTATATACTATATCTAAAATCTCTTCCCCGTAAAAAAAGCATCTATATACTATATCTAAAATCTCTTCCCCATAAAAACGCCACGTGACATCTCTTAAGCCTCTCTAAAATCTCTTCCCCTTGAAAACGCCATGTGGCAAGCCTCTCTAAAATCTCTTCCCCTTGAAAACGCCACATGACATCTCTTCCACTTGAAAACGCCACATGGCAAGCCTTTTTTTCGAAATTAAATATTTGAAATCTCTTACATTGAAACCGCCACTTGGCATTTTTTTCATTATTTAATCTATTACTATCTAACTAATAATTAATAATGATGATACGTTCACAAGAAATAATCTCTTCGTTCAAGAAATAATCTTTTCGTTCAAGAAATAATCTCTTCCCCTTGGAATGCGAGATTTCTACAATATCTTCCTATTCATTTGGATTAGTTGATTTTGGGGATATAATTACTAATCGTATCACCTCAACTACTGTAATAGGTAAGATACAAATGTAGCTTACTTTAAAATAAATTTATAGTTTTTCTTATTGCCTTTTTTCCAGTTCAATACTATTTTTTAATATATTTGACACTTGGGGGCTTTTTATTCATTTTTTATGTTATATGACATTTTCAGATATCATTTGAGAGCTTATTACTATTAGAAATGTAAAGAAGTTGAGAGCAATGGAAGTAAAAGAAAAAATACTAGAGCTTGAACTCCAAGATAGCAAGTGAGTTCAAATATGTACAATATAGTTACATATTTTTTAATAGTAAAAGTATGTGTGTGCATGTGAGTGTGTGTATATGCATTCCGTACTAAATTTTTTTCTTCATGCACCAACACTAAATTACAATGCAGTTTGTGGGGTGATTACGCTGTTCAAGTTTCTCAATATGTACAGAAAGCTAATTCAGGAATTATTATAATAGTGATTCAGCTTGCGAAGACAAAACCATATGGAGGTAAATCAAATTAGATGTATACTAATTTATCAAAAAAAATATTTTTATTTTGTAGATTATGTTCATATATTGACAGACTCATGAATTTAAAAATTTTATTTCTTAGGTAAAATTACTATTACAAATGCCTTATATGCGTCCAAGTTATTAATCAATCCCGACATACCTGAAGTTGTTGATCTAAAAAAGGTACATGATGAATTATCTCATTCGTTAGTTATTTACAAGTAATTTGATATTATTTCTAATTAATTTAATTTTACTATCATAAGTCTGAAACTTGTGGAAGATTCTTCGTCTTAACGATTTAGTCAGATTCCAATAAGTCTGAAACTTGTGGAAGATTCTTCGTCTTAACGATTTAGTCAGATTCCAACTGAAAAAGCTTATTTCATCGAGGATGATTTTTTTGTTATTAACTGAACGGAAGACACTTGATGAAATTCGAGAGGCACGAGAGGTAATTATTTTGAAGAATTGACTTTATTGATATTGCACTGCTTATTTAAAATGTGGGATTAGTGGCAAACTAGATAACTAATCTGAAGACAATTGATAATTTTCTTCCAAATTATTCATAACTTTATTTTCTTACTATTTGATAATACTCAGGTTTGCACATGTGTGACATTAGCAACTATACAGAAAATTCAAACAAATTATAATTGGTTTTATAATGCCTGCAAAAAATGTCAAAGGAAGATAAATGCTGAAAATGGTAAATTTTGGTGTGAGAAATGCAATGAAAATGCAAGATTTGTTATCCCAAGGTACGTCAGAAAGTATGTATGTCAGTTTCTTCACAAGTTATATTTCATCATATGCTTCATGAAAGGATGTATGAATCTGATGTCGAGCACTCAGTTTCAGTAAACTTGATTTCTTTGGGAATGTTTAGAAACAAAAAGCAAAAACATATTAAAATTGAAAAAGAGAATTAGAATATTCTACAGAGAGTTCAAGCTCCTTTTTGATAAATCTATATCTGATTAATGATGTCTAAAACTTATATTTAGTATTCTGGTCTAAAACCTTATTTAGTAAATTTTTGTATGCACTACATATTTTTTTGGTGGTTTTGCGTTGAGAAACCTAACTACTTGATATGATTATGATAGATATTTTGTTTATCAATATATTGATAATTATTGTCTTGATTCATACATATATATACTTGACAGGTATCTCTAGATGCTTTAAATATTTTGTTTGGAACTAAACTTTAAGTTGCATACTAATTACTTGGTATAGCAAAATATTATAACATTAATCATATAGACATGAGACATTTTATCTATTTTGTTATGATAATAGGGAAATTATATTTTGATTCTTTTTTATAGTTTAATAGTAAGTCAAACATATATTCAGCTTAGATTGTATCATTTCTGACTATTTATATATTATTATTATTCAAGTTTGTATTTTTTTAATATATTAATTTTTGTATATTAAACAAATCCACGGCAGGGGCCTGAAACTAGTTCCTATGAAATTACTTCCAGGAAAATGTGAAGTCCAAAAAAACACACCATATCTACCTAATAAGATTGAGAAAGTGAGAGAAAATCGTCAATGGCTTCTGCTCTCCCCAACCATTATCTCTCCTTCTCTCTTCTCTCTCCTTCGACTCGCTTTCCGTCTAAATCCACGAATGTCCCCAAAACCCTAGCTTTTGCCAGAACCCCTAGCCCCAGATCTCTCGCCTCTCAAGTTTCTAGAAGGCGCTTTGGAGGTTCTCTCAGAGCCGCCGAAACTGAACCCGAGGTTCGAATTTTATCCTCCTTTTACATGATTTTTTCTTAATTATGATTGAATTGGCTTGTAATTGGATGATGAATTGTGAAGTGTTGATACATTTGGTTCAGCTTGTTGGATGGATTCTGCATTGTTGTTACCTCAATGTTGATATGAATTCCTCAAATTTAGAATTTTGCGCTGTTGTTACTCTAACGTTGACGTGAATTTCTCAAATTTAGAACTTCCAAATGAAAATTGGTCTCGGAAAGATTGGAATGTAAATAGACGATGGCACATGTTTCCTTGAATTTGTCAAAAGCATTCCACTTTAGGTGGGTTAGTTAAAAAATTGGAAATGCTTTCATGTCGCTGGTATCGTGATAGATGGTAGAACTTGTGAGCTCATGGGTTCCTTATTCCCCAATTTCAATAACTAAATCTTGATTTGTCTATGGAGACGGTTAGTTCTTCTTTACGCTCGTATGTTGTTTAAGCTTGGTCTAATATCGGCGAAGATAGAAAAAGTTTAGTAAAACATGGTGGGGGTTTCTCAATTTCCTACTTCAAATTATGATATTCTTGAAAAAGAATTGGATGTTTCTCTTTGGCTTTTTTTTTTTTTTTTTTTTTTGTTTTTGTGTAGCCTTGGTCTTTCTGTTTTGTGTCCTTTGGAATGAACAACTGGATTCTGTTACTCTGTTACTTACCTTGAGAAGCCTTAAACCCAGTAGATCAGAGGTTATGATCCTTCACAAATAAACACATGTTTCTTCAAATGTAGAGGCATCATTTACTGTAATACTATTCTTTTTCACATTCCAGTTTACTGTCGTAATATACTGAATAATAGTCTTAAATGCAACAAAGAACTATCCTTCTGTTTTTGGTCTGGGGTTGCCAGCTATCCATAGAGGTCTTATGAGATACCATGCAGTTATGCATTTACAGTAACAGTAGCCGGTATAATCATATACCCCTACACTTGACAACATTACTAATTTTGTATGCATTTTATTTGTGACCTTATCTCTCTGTCATGTGTTTAGGCTTACAGTTTCTTGCGTTTTCAGGTTTTTCAAGGGGCAGAGAAAAAATAGCACTAACTCCCCCCCTCTTTTCCTTCCGTTTGTTGTCTGCATTGCATCTATATGATATATGATGTGATGGTTGTTTTCCTTTCATTTCCTTCCTTCTTTCTTTCTTTCTTCTTCCTTTTCCTATTAAAATCTGCTGCTTTTTTTCACTCAAAATAATGTGCATGTAGAAGTTGATAAACCATTTGGTTTGCCTTTCCTGATGAATTTTGAACATCATGACATGCACATGGCCTGATTAGCATAGTTGTAGATTTTATGTCCTTGCAAGATACTTGCTAATGACTTAATTTCTTCCTATTGCATTCTCTGGTATTACCTAGAATTATGTATATGTTAATGAGAAAGTAGGGAATAGTAAGTTGGCTGCAATAATTGTAGCAGAACACACCCAGTATTTGCTTCACAAACACAAACATAGATATGAATGCATCTTGTTGGCTGTCAACCTCTTTTGAGAAGTCTAGAAAATATTAGAATTTTTTAGTCCTAGTAAATTCTAGAACAGTCTTAAAATGTCTTGGTGATTACTTGGAGTCTAGAAGAGTCCATAGGATGCTTCTAGAAAAGTTTCTAGAAGACTCTAATTTATAATGAAAATGTATATGTAGAAGTGTGTGGAATTTAGAAGTGTCTAGAATTAAAGAGTACTATAGAAGAACCTCATGACGTATAAATACGCCATGAGGGAGGCCTCATAGAATAATGAAGTTGTAGAAGTCTAAGAGAAAACAAGTTGTAGAAACAACTATTCAATGCAAAGAATCTTTCCTCCGTACCAAGTCTAGTTTTCACTCTAAAATCCTTCCCGTCCTACACAATACTTAGTCCATCATAGAGCGGCCTCTCCAAATTTCTAACAAAGTGGTATCTAGTTACTAAAACAGAGCCGGTCACAAGCTACAGTGTGGCTCACTAGGAAGACCAGTCAACCCACTCTATTGAAGAGCTTAGTTGGAAGTATACGATATTTGACCATCACCATGTTAGACTAGTCAGCAGATACATGAAAGACCCGAAGTAAGAGCACTACAAGGCAATCAAGAGGATATTATGGTACATCAAAGGAACTATCAATGAAGGACTTTTCTATACATAGTCAGAAGGCGCAAGGTTAATCGGTTATACGGATAGTGACTATGGAGAAGACCTTGATGAACAGAAGAGCATTTTCGATTATGTGTTAAACATTGGATCAACAATATTGTCATGGTCCTCAAAGAAGCAGTCAGTGGTTGCAATATCAACATGTAAAACAGAGTATATTACAACATCATCTTGTGCATGTCAAGCAATGTGGATCACAAACTTGATGGAGGAGCTTCGTCATTAGAAAGATGGACTGACAATCTTGTATGTGAACAATAAGTTAGCTACAGAACTTGCGAAGAATCTAGTAGCACATGGAGAGAATCTGCACATTGAGATGAGATATAATTATCTTCAAGAGCTTGTCTAAAAGAAGAAGATAATAAGGATTGCATACAAGTCAGAAGACCAGGTTGCATATACCTTCACCAAGGTGTTAAAACTTGAAGTGTTCGAGAAGATGAAGAATAAACTTGATTTGGTCGAAAGAGTTTCGGGGAAGTGTTATTATCCAAACTCTTTTGAATATTCTAGAAACTATTACAAGTTTTTACTTGTAGAATGTTCTAGAGAATTTCAAAGTTGTCATGACAAATGTCTTTAAATGCAGAAGAGTATTATGTCTTTCTAGAAGGTGTTCTAAAAATTTACCAGTAGTGCATGAAATAGAATTATCTACAAATTTCCCAGTAGTGCATGAAATAGAACTATCTAGAAGAAAAAAGTTGTAGAAGCACTATGGTGCTTATAAATAGAGTAGCCTCTCCAAAATTTTGTAAACATGGGTATTGGTTATGTACAAGTTTCTAAAGAGAAATATTTTAGAAGGAGAAAACCTGCCTTAATATGGAGGAAAGACTCTTTATATTGCATAGTTATTTTTACAATTTGTTTTTCTTTTACAACTTTATTATTCATAGACCAGGAGATTATTCATAGGCTACAAGTTTTTTCTACAATACTCTAATTCTAGACACTTTTAAATTCTACACATTTCTACATATACATCTTCATGATAAATTAGTCTTCTAGAAATTTTTCTAGAAGCATCCTGTGGAGTCTTTTAGACTAAGTAATCACCATGATACTTTACGACTATTTTAGAATTTACTAGGACTAAAAAATTCTTATATTTTCTTGACTTCTCAAAAGAGTTTGACAATCTACACTAACCCTCAAGCTCCTTTGACCATGCTGAGTTTTCTCTTTAGTTTCTTAAATATATCCACTTTCAGCACCTTGGTGAAGATACTTGCAACTTGATCTTCTGACTTGCATACATCATATATATATTAATATGTGCATGTATGCATGCATGCGTATGCTTGTGTATTATATGTGCATTGGCTTTCACCTTAGATGAGCGAGATTATCTTCTCATTTTCTACCATTTGATATGATTATGCTATGAGATCAAAATGTTAGAAAGAAGTGGAAAAAGAGAGAATTTCATAAGAGCATATATTAACCTATATGTTCGTTTGTTTGTTTTTGTGCATGTATGAGTAAGTAGTGCTTGCGTGTGTTTGTGCATGTGTGCATTACGTGTGCATTTATAACTTAAAGGTGGCAAACGGGTCGGGTGGGGTCAACTATGACCCATTCGTATAAGTTTGAGTTGATTCAACCCGTTTAATAATTGGGCCTGGCCCGTTTATTAAACGGGTTGCCTATATACCCGACCTATGTAACCCGTTTATAACCCGTTTATTAATTTAGGCAAGAAGACATGAGATTTCTCACCATAATAATGAAACATAAAAATAATTTCTGTTTATGTCAGAAAATTAATTATATAAGTGAGAGGATATTTGGAGGAGTTTAGGGTCACTTAATTTTCTCTGATGACTAATTAATCTGAAGGAAGTAGATCCCTACGTAGGTAACACTCATTACAGGGCCAAAGGGGATTTTTCCTGGAATGCCCTTCGACGTTTAAGACAGTGATAGATATAACAAACTATTAGAATGTAGAATCTAGTTTAGGGTTTTTTTTCAACGTACCTTAGTGTAGTGGGGTTAATTACTATTTATATAGAATTTATAGGGGCACAAAGGCAATGCGACCCGACTAGTGGAGTAAGTGTTCTGACTCCACTTTACACGCATCGCCAGCCTGTTGGTTGAGTGTAAAGGGACGCCAACCTCACATTTAATGTGATAGCGACAGAATGACAAAAGCGTAGGTGACATCCGAGGCGTCATTATAACTTTGGCTCGAGGAGTCATAATGACTCTGACCATGCATTTAATGCGAATGCGATGGTGACCGGGTGACAATGTATGGGCACCGACTGATCATGCATTAAATGCGAGCAGTGCTTATGAGATTGATAGGTCATTCCGTCTTTTGAGACATTCTCTAGTGGAATCTAATCAAAAGACATATTTCGTCTTGGACTCGAATTTCTCTAATAGATCCCGATTTGATGAAGCCTTTCGTCTCGAGCTAGGACTGTTAAGAGATATCACCGGTGCTCACACTTAGATCAGACTTTCAGATTATATGATTTGGCCCATTAATATGACATGTGGCCAACTCTTAAGGGCTCATTTAAACCTAGTGATTTTTAGGCTATAACAATTCCCAATTGACCAATACTCTTTGTATATCTACTAAAATATGAAGAAGTCCAAAGGTCTACAGGTGTAATGAAACTATTCCAACCCTTTATTAATTTTGTTTTTTTAAATAAAGTGCATGAAACAATAAATTTTGTAAATAGGGCAAGAGACTAAAATCTAGCAATAAAATTGAAATTGAAATTTTTCGAAAAGCAGTAAGAATTCAAAATTATAGTTTCTATAAATGAAAGTTTCATGAAGCATTGAATTAGAAAATAGATTAAAATCTTGCAATAAATTTTTAACTTGCAAAATTAGGAAATACACATGCACTTAAGATCTTTATACATCAAAGAAAATTTTGAATTGCAAAATTAGGCAATAAACTTGAATTGCAATATTAGGAAAACATGACCCTAACATCGACCCATTTACATCATTTCAGTCATCGGCAATTAACAAAATAAAACAAATTATAATTCAAAAAAATAGCATCAGCCATGACGACCACTCAGATCCAAAATATCCATGTAGTCCAAATCAAACCTTAATCTTAAAATACCAAATAACACGTTCCCATTTAGAAGAAAGAAAAGAACTTCCTTCAAGCGATTGCTAACCATGACTCTTTTGTTCTTTATTAATTTGAGTTCCTTCAATCGAGATTGTTGTTCGAGCACCGGCTTGTGAGCCTTCATTTTCGCTGTTGTTCAGTGTCACTACTCTTCGGCGACCACTGTACTCTGATGCCGTCATTCGCTAGTCCTCACTGCTTATTGTCATTGCTAGTAGCTTTTACATGATATTTTTGCATGATGGAAGAGACAAACAGTTATGATAAATGGGTTAAATGGGTCATTTCGGTCGACTTGTACCTAACCCGTTTATTAGTCGGGGTGACCCATATATGACCTGTCCCATATAACCTGACCCAAACCCGTCAGTAGAGGGTCAAGTGAGTCGGGTCGGTGGGTCAGGTCAGAATTTGCCACCCTTAATCTGTCATCTGTGCATGTTTGTGGTGCATATATGTGCATGTGTGTGCGCGCCGTGCGCATGGATGCATGTTTTTGTTGATAGGAATATAAAAATGAGCAAAAAACAGAAGAATTAAGAACCTTTGAGCAAATGGGAAGAAGGCAAGAAAAAGAAACTTATCTAATGAGAAATTCTACTCACTATTTTAGATCTTTGCATTTGCATAAACCTATGATTCTGTAGACACGAGTGTCATGTTCCCATACAAATATGTGAATACAACAAATCTCAAAATCTAGATATGTCCTTTTCTAAGGTTATGCTTATTCCAAGGCATATAAACGTACGTTTTTGTTTTACATATGGAAGAGGACCTACATAGATACTTGATCCATCTACTAATTTGCTTTGGTAAAAAAGAAGCATCACATGCATCATCTTTTACTCATACACACGAGGAATGACTGACACGGTCTATGGACACCCATTCTCGACACGCAAGAGTGTCCGACACAGTCTATGGACAACCATTCTGGACACACCAATGTTTGGTAGTTAGAAATTTGTATTTCGTGCACATCATAGTCATAAATTAGAAAGGAAGATGATTATACGTGTTCATTGTTTAATTTTAGTTTTTGATTTTCGTATTGGATTTTAGTCCCGTTTCTACATGACAAAAATAAACATTCCTTTGAATCTTAAAGGCGAAGAATTTATTGACGAACAGCCACTTTATGTTGCATGAGCATAAACTAGTGAATGCATGCATTTCTGAAGTGATGATTATAACCCCACTT